ACAATGCCTCCGCACTACAGATAATAAGGGATCAACAGGTGATACACTTAAACTTTTGTTTAATGACTAATATTATTTCATTAGTTCTCCAACTTTAACATTACGTACTTTTCCTTAATATTTATTTCCGAGGAGTATTAGCATGCAACATACTATCTAATATATTGTATAACCATTTTTGTCGATTCACTCTTATTTAGTATTAAAGTTGAAAACTAAAAAATAACAAGTAAAATTAATTAAATAGAAACTGACACTCATAAATTTTTTATAATTTTCAAAACTTTAACTAATGATAACAAATGTATTGAAAATGTCTTTAAAAAAAAGTGCATTGTTAATTAACCTTTCTCTTTCATTCATATACTACACATTTATAGTTTAAGTTTTGAAATTTTAATCCCTCTTTTCAACCAGATAAGGCCATGAAGTATGTTACGTGTGCTGTGTCTGTGTCACAAATTAACAATAATCATCCAATTTTACACAAAGAATGGTACAAAATGTTGTTTGCCATTTATGATATTCTTTTTGGTAGTGAATAAATTAGGTAGAGAAAATCATATACTCCTAATTCAGGATAATAAGTTTATAGATTTAAAACATATCTACCTCAGGATATTTATAACATTTCTTTAGTTTTGGAAGCCTATGAAGATGAATTTTATGCTTTTCTTTTAGATTTCTAAGGTAATTTGGTTACCCTTTTCTGACAAGTTTACAGTTATATTTAATAATTATGAGGTATTTATTTTTAAAATTAAGCTTGTATCTTTTGTAAAACTATGTATGAGTGTAAGGTAACGACCCTTAGTGATACATGGAGACATTGTCCTTATCTGCGATCTATCATTTTGTGTATCGACCTTTAGACTAACAATCATTGTTAAGTGTAAGACCACTATCATTTTATGGTTCTTAAACTTCATCTCTTGGCATATCATGATAAGCATGAATATTCAAACTCATTTTTTCTAAGGTTTGAACCATTTATCACATTGGATGGGAGCATACATTTCATCTATTATTGTCAATAATGGACTTACACAAAACACCTCTGAGGCCTACCCCTTATATACTACTGTGGTAGCACATACATTTCTTAATTCTCAAAACATATATTATCACCTAATGCAAAGGTACATCTATCTTTTCATAGGAAAATATTTTCCTTTTTCAGCCAAACAAAAAAGACATACACCTCAACATCGTCAATCAAATACTATAAAAAATGTTATATACAATGACAAATAAAAAATATCATTATAATATATATATATATATATATATATATCTTTGATATTTAATTATACATAATTTTAATATTAATTTTAAATAAGATTTAACAATATATTTTATATATTATTATAATTTATACTTATATTTTTTAATAATATATTAATATATTATATTTATTATATAAATAAAAATAATTTTAGTAATACATATTATGTGATTATATAATGTGTCATTATATAATATGTCTCATCTTTCATAATCTTCCGTCATATGACAGTTCAAGATCGTTAAGATGCTTCCCTATTCCATGTCATTATTTAGCATTACCCTGTTATCCAAGAACGTAAGATCTATTATCTTCCTTTATTGGGTTGTATTTGTACTTATTTCTCGTACTAAGTAATGTGTGGGTGTTTTTTTTTTATCACCTTTTTCTAAAAAGTACGGTACCTTTCCTTTAGACAAAGGTGGAAATGTCACCACATTTGATGTGGAAGGCATCACAACTCGGATAAGAAGGGGATTCTACTATTCTTTTTGTTGAAGGGCCCATATCATACATCGGAGATTGAAAAAGATCCTCCTTAGAAATTGAGGATGACTTTTACCCTTCCCTTGGCAATCTTTAAGTCTTAAGTATTTTATTTGATCATTTTCTTATGTAGGATTTATTGTTTAACATACACACACCAACAACAGTCACACAAATAACAAAAACATGTCCTTACAGGTTACAATATACACCTAAACACTATTTATATCCGAAGCGAAGAGATCATACATCAACAAGAAACAAGGGTTGGGAAGTAAAGAAAACTCAACATATCCTTAAACACTTAAACAGAAATAACATAATTTTCTAGAAGGGTATGCACCCAGCACCAACCCATGACACTTGGCATTTCTTGACTAAGAACATTAGGCTCTCCCTCAGGAAGGCTCGTGCTCAGCACCATCAATTTATTGCTTAGTGTAGCAACAGTGAGCTCCAAACTCCAGGTTAGAGGTCATATATGCATTTAGAACAACTAATTCCATGCTTAACGCTAGAGCATTTGGCATCAAGCACCAGTCCATGAGGGTTCTACGCTTATTGACACAATAATGTCACTTAGCGCCACAACACACAAGTTATTGAACATCAAAATTTATAGGGTTCACACTTGGCGATATAGTTACTCTAGTGTCAATTAATCCATCAATTTAGAATTGCTCATGCCACTATGTGCTGCTTAGTGTGAGATAAAAAAAAATAAAAAATAGCAGAAACCCTAATGCGCCTTCTTATGGGCTCACCCATGCCCCCAAGTTACCCAAATCACTTTAAGTTGATTGTTTTTTCTTCTTATGTTTCAAAACATCAATACTACTTTCTAAATCCATCACTCGTCCACTAATGCCAATATTTTTCATAAAACTCCTTTATGAACATTAAACACAAAAGCAATCCACCAAGAAGAAATTATAGTATACTTACTCCAATCATTTTATATATCAAATTTTAATAATATAATCGTTGAATTAAAAATTCTTAATAATAGATTATACAAATTTTAAAAAAATGAAAATTATAAAATACTTCGTTATATAAATTCAAATTAAAGTATAAAATATTTTTATGATTATCAGTAAATTTGAATTAATGAAACGAAGTATTAAATAATTTTTAAACATTTTAAAAATTTATAAACTTAATTTATACATTAAAAACTTTTAATTTAACAATTAGACCGTTGAAATTTATGTAGAACATGATTTATTAAGTGAAATAAATCTACCAAAACTTACTTTTAAAATAAAAGAATATCTTCTTATATATATATATATATATATATATATTGCTAATATACATATATATATATATATATAGTTTTAAGAAAAAGTAACTACATAAATATATATTTTTTTTGTATAGTTTACTTAAAATTACCATTCTCTTATATTTTGATAATTTGAAAATTCTAAAAATAAATTAAAGATATATATTTTTGTAATTTTATTGAAATAATGATTTTTTCATTTGAATATAATTTATATCTCATTTTATTATTATCTATATATTTCATGTTAATTATAAGATATGATAAGATAAAAATATTATATGATATCATTATACATTGAATAAAATTTAAATTCGGTTATTCTCATTCTATACTAATATTAGTGTGCATGACACTTTTAATGATAGGTAAAAAGATTTTTTTTATGTTTGTTATAGAATTGTCATAGATTCTAACAGGTGACAACATAAAATTTTTAACTTTTTATGTTGATTATTAAAAAAACCGACATAAAAAGGTGTTATTTTTTTAGGTTAATAACAATTACATCTTTGCCATACATTTTCTCTCTCGTCGTATTTCTTCACATTTTGTTGTTGTGCTCTTTCCTACTCATTGTCACATCTTTTTGCGCTTCATTATTGTGTTTTTTTCTCTCTCATTGTTGTATCTCTTTATGTCTCGCCATTGGACTCTTTCTCTCCCATTTTTGCATCCTCACTCATTTTTACTAGTGTCCCTTTAATTCTCATATCTTTTTGTTTTCATGACATTGTCTTCCACCACCATATTTGTCACTACCACATTTGTCATTTCCACACCATGTTTGCTTCTAAACCATTATACTATCAACATTTAATCAATAGCAATAGAAAATGTAAAAAAAAAAGTAGAAAATAATTTACCTCATTGTACGAGGAGGAGAAGGACAAAGAAAAGGAAAAAAACAAAAAACCAAAGGTAAGAGTCTCACATTTGAATTTTTAAAACACTTTTATGTTGGGTGTTGTTTTGCTAATTATAAATTATTTTTTTTTATATTTGATATCATTATACTTGTTATAAAAAAGTTCAGACCTATTAAAAAGTTGACTCTCTCCAACACATTCTAGGATTGGTGTTAACTCATCCAACATAAAAAAAAAATTTTATGATGTGTGAGTCAACACGTACTTACAATAAAAAGTTATCATAACTTTATTATCACATCATTTTTTATATTATGTGAATTACACTAACATAAAATTATTGTCATAAAAAACTTTGTTTACACTAGTATAATTTTATCATATTATTATTATATTTTATGCTATTATATACATCATGTCATAACCATTAAATAAACCGATTAATATCTTTCAATCGTACCATAAATCAATATGATTTTGAAAACATTAAAATATATAT